TGGGGGAAAAGGGTCCCCTTTCCTGACAGTGGGAAAGGCCTGCAGCTCAGAGTCAAGGTGCTCAGATACCACTGAGTCCCCCTCCTAAATGTTGACAGCAACTTACATCTAAGTGTTTATGAACATATCCATTTCTTCATACCCTTCCCAACACTGGGCATTTGGAGATGTTTTCATCTTCCTTGATCTCACAAGTTTAACAATCATTGCCTCATTATTATTTTCATTTAGTTTTACATTATTAATTAAAAATACTTCTTTTTATTTATGTGTGCCTGTGTTCATTCTGCACACTTGTTTGCTGATGCCTGTGAAGGCCAAGGGAGGGGATCAGAGCCCCTGATGCTAGAGTTGCAGGTTGTTGTGATCTGCCTAATATGGATGCTGGGAACTGAACTCGGGTCCTCTGCATGAGCAGCAAGCTCTCTTAACCGCTGAGCCATCCCTTCAGCTCCCAAATTTTTAAAGTTTTAATTGGGGCAACACATAATAAATTGCACCATCTTGATTGCTTTTCAGTGTGTAGCTCAGTAGCATTTCTTCACATTGTACCAATCTCCAGTCTCATTAAATATAATTTCCTTATCCTTCAAAGCACAGACGTTTTAAATATCAATGCGGTCCCATTTGTCCATTTTTGCCTTTATTACCCATATCTTTCATGTTATATCTAAGAAATTATTGATATTATTTGGATTTTCAAGGTGTAAGTGAGAAGCTGGGCATGATGGGGGCCTGACAATAATAAGGACAGCCAGCGATACATAGTGTGTGTATTCTGCCTATTTTTTATTGGATAGTCCATTTCCCTTTCATGGATTGCAAGAGCTCCCTGCATGCTGAAGAGGGCAGTACAAGGCTGCTAGTTTTCCAAGATGGCTCCCCCATCTCCATTTTGTTGCCTCTCTTTTGACTTTGCTCTTGGCTTTTGTCTGCCCTTTTCCCAGAAAAGCCGTTATGAGACCTACATCCACCTCCTGTCCGTGAAAATCAAAGTGGGTTCAGATGACCTGGAGCGGATCGAGGCCCGCCTGGCTACTCTAGAAGGGGATGACTCAGCTCTCCGGAAGACACACTCAAGCCCCGCCCTCAGCTTGGGGCACGGGCCTGTGACTGGCAGCAAAGCCACAAAGGATGCCTCAGCGTCTGATTCTTAGCTGGTGTGGCTGTGCAGGCCCTGGAGACCGGCAGATGTCCCCAGAGGGGGTCAGTGAGCACAATTCCAGTCGGAGGCTGCTTGGACCAAGCATCAGGCAGTTAAAACTGGCAACCAGAGGGATATGGAGAGCCTTGTGGTCAAGGAGATGCCATTTCATGGCGCTGATCTTCTGTATCCTAGGCCGTCTCCGGCCTAGCTCCTCTCCTAGCCCTGGCTGCCCACAAGTCATGGGGCCTTGCTTTGCAGGTCAGACTTGCTCTAGGGCTGCCATCTGGAGAAGTCAGTCACTGTTGCTTCCCCAGGCCCCTTCTCATCAGGCCGCTCCTTCATCTTGTGTTTGTGAGGATGAGTCTGAACTCGGGGTCTCAGCTTGGATACCTACCCTTTCTCCTCTTTCCTCTCAGTTGACCAGCAGCAGGTCTATGGACCACCAGCAACGCCTTCTCCTTTCCTTTTCCCAGCAACCTTTGCAACCGGTCCAGTTCTCCTGCCTCATATTGCAATAATCTGAGGCCTAACCTCCACTTAGTGCCAAACTGATTCCACTTGCGTGTGTATCCACCTCTCCTTTTATCCACTCTGAGGCCTCTCCTGCCTCTTTTTTTATATGGACACAAACATATATAATATATATATGTATGTATGTAAAGAACTCATTTAAGGAAGGTTTGAGGACTACTACCGATTAGAGGATGAACCCAGACAAAGGAACAAGCTTGTCTCAGAGCTGGGCCAGCGAGCAAGGCAGCCTGCTATGGGGCCCTCTGCTGCCCTGACACTCTGGATGGGAAGAAGAAGCCCTTTTCCTCTTCCAGCTGACTTGTGACTCTCGGGCACTTTTCTGGTTGATGCTTTCGGACTAAACAGGATATGCGTGTCACCTCCCCTGTCCCAAGGGTGTCCTTGTGGGGTGATGGCTCAGGAGCACACCTCTGTTTGCTTGGGTCCTCTTGTGAAGGCCACCAAGGTCTCGAGTGATAGAGTGAGGTGGAGGAAGCTCTCAATTCATGGTCTCGGGGATAAGATGGAGTGGCAAGTTCTTAATTACTGATGTTTTTGTCATTTTTTTAGTGAATGAGAAAAGCCTAGCTAAGGACATAGCTGAGAATAGAGACACACGTCCCTCACGGGTTGACATCCTTCACTTAGACCAACAAGTGAGTTGGGGGATGGCCCTCTTGACGCAGCTACTGTGAGCCAGCCTTTCCTGTTGTTTGGCCAACAGTTTGACCTCTTTGGTAACACAGGCCTTGTGACTAAGTGTCTGAAGGTCCACTCCCATTGGATGTGGGGAGCTGTAAGTCTGTGGAGAGGCGTAGGGGGTTTAAATCCAAATTGTTTAAATTGGATTAGCTGAAGTGAGTATTATAACCAAACCATCTGGCCCCTTTGTTTTGCTCAGGGGAAGTAAACGCTCATTTGAATGGGATCAGAAAGGCGATTTAGGGGCAGTAAAGAGATCTCAGTTCTTTGTGTTGCTGCCTGAAAGTCCCTTGTCATGGGGGTGGGGGATGACAGTGGAGGTGCAAGCTCACTAGCCACAGACACGCGCATGTGTGGTTCCCCAAGCACTAGTCGTGCCTCCCACCAGTAAAGACATTTCTTACTTCCTTAATTGTATAATTCTTTATTTGTAAATTATATACATGTACTACTGTACTAAAATATTATGTACATTATAAAACATACACAAAAATAGAAATTTAAAAAAGATGAGATGAAAATAAATCTAAATCAAAGTTCTAATATTTTTCCTGCATTCTAATAGACCATCATGTTCCTCTTCCCTAACAGTGGCTCCTAACATGCCCAGGAGAACTAGTCAAACCCAGGGCCTGACAAATGGAGTAAGCAGTTTTCTCCATATAGAGGTCCTGGTTATTTGCCCAGGGCTCAGGAACTCCTGGTTGCTAACTCTTGACAGACAGCCTTCAACCTCTTCAGTGAGGGGCAACCATGTGGCATAGATTGTTGCTGGGTGCTGGGATGGTGGTGAAGGAGGTCCACTCCCTGTCTCCATGGGTCTCACAGATATGGGGGGTCTCGGGGAAGTGGTTATCATTGCCATTGGGGACGACTCTGAGAGAGGCTGGGGAAAGACACTAAATGTGATACTAAAAAGAAAATAATTTGGGGAGCAGGGAAGAGAGTTTTGACCTACGAAGCTGCCTGAATGTCCTGAGTGTTCCAGGGGACAGGGTAGTGGAAGGGAAGTTGCTTGAAGTGATTGCAATGCTTCCTGAAAGGCCACACACTCAAGTTTTCCCCAAGGCTGAAACCTGAGAGTCAGGGTGGGCAAGAGGGTCTCTCTGGTCAAGCGTGCTCCTGAGGCCCAACCAGACACGTCCAGGGAGTAGGTGGCTGATATAATGAGGAGAGAGCCGAGGAGCTAGGTTAGGTTCTATCCTTGGACTCTGGCAGGTACCTTAGAATACAGGGCAGATGATAAAGGAGCAAAATGGGGTCAGGTACAAGTTCACTAAGTCAACCTGGGGTCGTATACAGATAGGAGATTCATTTGAGTCACAGCGGTGGTTTCTGAATGAAAACCGAGAAGGCAACGACTGAGAGCCCTCACAGAGCCTAAGTGAGGGCTCTAACCTGGATCGCACTAAGATCTGATCGGTGGACTCATTAAGAGGTCATAGCCGTTAACCTGGGGTCACATAGAGATCAGAGGTCGTACGTAAGGATTACCGCCCTAAGAAAGCTCTCAAGGCAACGGCAAACAGATAGCAGAGGGGTCTAATGCAGTCACTGGCTGGGGCCTGGAAGACGTCCATGATCTACAGGTTTAACATTCAGCCCAGTAATTTTCCCCTATTTTTTCCTTTGTAAAAAGTACCCCCTTCAGCACCCACCAACAAATATAATGATGAATTTTTAAGTTTAGACTTTTCTTAATCATCTCCTCATCGAGTTTTTGCCACTTTGTGATTCAAGGTTGCAAGGCTCAGGATTCTGTCCCCACCACCATCAAGGTAGCTGTCTTCTAGACAATCTCTCAGGAGCGGTGCCGGCTCATCTGCACGTGACCTCCACAGCAGCTCGCTGAGGTATACAGTGTCTTCCTCATCTCTCACTAAGCAAATTGTGGGTTGGAGAAAGCACAGAGCTAGCGAGGGCCAAACTGGCACTCAGATTCGGTCCTTGTTGCTCTGTGCCTCTCTGTCCCGCTACTTTGTTAGTGTGACATTCAAGGACGCACATAAGCATACGTAAATATGTACACATTCACCCCAGCTCTTTGGAGAGGAGGCTTCAGGTCCAGGAGGCTGGAATCTTGGTTTCTGGTATTCTAGGTGGCTGATGAGAAAGACTCTTCACCCCGGACTCCATCTGCCTCCTCCACACCTGAGTTCAGACCTTCATCAGAGCTGCAAGTTTAGACAGGCCCTGGCTCTGAGGGGGTATAAAATTGGGGAAAGAGCAATACCCTGTGGGCTTAGAAGCGCAGCTGCTGTGGTCCTTCTGGCAATGAGGGTATCCATTATGCTGTCTTACATGTCCAGACTCTGCCTGTGACGTGCCTGAGGCCCCAAGGGTCATCTTTGTCTCCGCTGCCCCAGTGCCAACCCCACAACCCTTCCCTTTTCACCCACCTGGGTGGGAAACTGTTGCCTCAGTCCAGCCTCCTAGCTCCAGGGCAGGGACTGGGCCAGAGTTCTGAGGCTGAGTTTAAAGCAGAACAATTTGCGTCAGTCCCTTGGCTGGGTTCCCCAGCACCCAGGGGCGACACCTTATAAATGATTTGGAAGGAAGACTTGGAACAGGTCCTTAGAACTGGGGCCAGCGGGACTGGAGAGAGGGTCACTTCCGCTCAGGGACTGCCCTGGCCCTCTCCAATCTATTCCAGTACCCACAGGGCCCAGATCCTCCTCCTGTCTTCCCTCCTCAGCTGGGCCAGGTACACACAGTCAAACAGGAGTTATTTCTGATTTTATTTATAATATAAAAATGTTCAAGTGTCAACAGTCAGGTGTTTGGACATGTCAGGGTTCCCATCTGTTCCTGTTTGGGACTTTGTTTGTTTGTTTCCTTTTTAGACAATTGCCTTTTTTTGACAAATTAGCATTGGATCCAGTTGTGAGGGTAGGGGAGGGCAGGATTGGAGGATGAAGTCATAGGTGGGTTGGGAGCTGGGCTGTGAGAAGGACATGGTGTTACTTTATTGCTAAAAGGGGAATCGAATACACTGTCGGAGTGGCTCTTCTGGGTCCCAGCGTGACCATGCATTCAATCTAAAGAATCTGAAATGCAAAGGACATGCAGGCGTAAAATAGAAAAGACGACCTGTAAACGAAGGTGCTGCAGAGGACAGAGTACCCTGGAGGCCGCAGGAGGAGGAGCTATGAAGGTTGGGCCCCTGGTAGTGCTGCCCCTCCCTAGGCCGGGGGCTGGTGGGGAGACCGCCTTCTCCGTCCTCTTTCCCTTAGCAGCCTTGAGGAGCGGGGAGGACCCCTCCCCATTCTAGTTGCTGTAGTTGGGGGGCTATGTCTCCCCCTGGAAGTAACCCGACCTCAATTCCAGCTCTAGGCAAGGATTCCTGCCCTCTCTGCCCGAGATTCCAGATTTGAACAGGGGAAGATCAAATTCTGCCTTGTCTCCATTTTCTTCCTCACTGTCCACTACTCTCAGGGCCAGTAGAACCTCGGTCTCTTCTTTCCCTGCCTTTTCTCACCCTCACCGGTTTGGGATCCTACAAGCGCCCATCCCCACCCTGCACCCCAGACGACTCTCCAGGAGCCCCAGATTAGCATACAGCAAAAGGCACCACAATATAGGTTTCTATTAAAGAGTCAAAAAATTGGCCCATCTCTCTTTTTTTTGTTGTTTCTTTTTTTTTCCGAAGCTGTAAATCAGGATGTTACATATAAATAGTTTCCCTATAAAAACGTCTTTGCCGTTAGCTAGTATTATAAGACAATTTTTTGCTAAAATGAAAATAAAACATTTTGTTATACTTTTTTCCTTTTTATAGAAAATAAAAATATTTTTATTTCTTTGTTCGCTCCTATTCCCTCTCCAGTCGGTGGTCTCCGCTCTCCTTGGAGACGTGGGGCGGGCGAGGCGGGGGGCGCCTAGAGGGGCCCCGAGTCCTGCTTGGCCCTCGTGGGCGGCCCACGGCTGTGTCTGCTGCTGGCGCACGTGCTGTGGCTGTCCAGGGAGTAGTAAGTCCTGCTGTCGGCCGCCGGACACAGCGGCGGCGAGTCCGAGCGCAGCGCGTCGTGCGCCGCCCGCAGGCCGAGGAAAGGCGTGCTCTCGCCCGCCAGCGCCCCGTCCGCGTCGTCCGCCTCGTCGTCCGAGGCCGACACCGAGCCACAGCCCGAGCCGCTGCTCAACGACAGCGAGTCCCGCGCCGCGCGTGCGCGCTGCGCCGCCAGCCCGTTGAGGCGCGAGCGCCGCCAGCGCCGCGGCCCCGCTGACGTCCTGCGGGACGCGCCGCGCGTGCGTGGCCGCGGCGGCGGCGGGGGCGCGCACTCCTGCGTGGTCTCGTACTCGTCGTCCTCCGGGATGCGGAAGGGGCTGGCGGGGAGGCTGCCCAAGCTGCCGCCCAGCGCGCAGGCGCTGCGCCGCGGTCCGGGCCCCGCCGCGGGGTAGTAGTAGCTGTCGTAGCTGCGCTGCATGTCCGCGCCGGACCCCGGCCCAGGGCCCGGCGGCGCCGGGTGCCGCAGGAGCGGCTGCTGCTCCGCCAGGCGGTAGCTGATGGGCGCGGCGGGCGGCAGCGACACGGCATGCGCAGAGTTGGGCGACGTGATCTCGAAGGTCGGCACCTGCGTGGCCAGCGAGTAGTGGAAGTCCACGGGCGAGAGGCGCGCGGGCGTGGTCAGGGCCGACACGTACCTGCGGGAGAGACAGAAGCGTGGGTCGGGTAATCTGGTTGTAGGGTCAGAAAGGACCCAGTCCTAAGAGTGAAGGCTGTGGCTCTGACCTCGTTCAGTTTCCGTGATCCCTCTCAGCCTGCATAGATAACTATAATGTTTACTCCGGAGTGAGCCTGGGCGATTTCAGAAATGTACTCGGGTAGTACCCTAGCCCAGTGACCGCCCTTCACTAAGCATCCGTAAGTGGTCATTTGCTGTGGGGATGCTCATTCTCCGGGGCACGCTCACCTTCGGGCGTTTTATATGTGGTCTCATCTGTTTTGGAGACTCTGCAGGTGAGGGCCATACTACACACAGGAAAAAGACTCAGACATTTAAGTGTCAAGGACGTAATGACCAAGATGTGGCTCGACCTGTTCTTTCTGAATCAACTGACTCCCTCCTCCCCATTTCACCAAGACACCACTAGGTGTCTCTTCTTGGAGCCAATGACTCCCAGGTCCACGACGGCCTGTTTTTGCTAATACCTCCTAGTGTGAATCCTGGGTACCTATCCCTGGGATTTGAATGCGGTTTAGGCAGAAACTAGTAAGGCTATTTTGAGAGACCATCATTCAGAGGCTCCTTGGGTTTGAGCTCAACCGCCCTAGCACGAATGGCTTAGCCCAAGGCATGGCTTGAGAGAGGGAAATCCCAAAAGCTGCTACAGGGAAGTGACACCGGGTAGGCTCCTTAAGCCAGAGCAGATAATACCAAGATAAGACGGGTCTCTATTCCTTGAAAAGTTTGCTTTTGCTAATAGATCTCCAGGGTGGCAGCGGGACCACACACCTGCACTAGGACAGCTTGCCCTTCCTGACCTATCACCTCACTCCTGTCTGGTTTTCCCAGAGGTCAGAGTCACCCGTGGAGCCTGGAACATTGGGTTTTGCTCTTCACAATCCACCTTGTGAGCCTTCAGCCTCCACCATTATCCATACTCCATTACAGGAATCACTCTCGGCCATGCCTTTCTTCCAGACTGCATTCCATGTTCCTGACTGTGCTCTGGAACTGGCTTAGTGTCCTTCCTACTCTCTTACGGGATCAGGAATCAGTTGCCTGCTCACTTCCCTTTCCTACACACAGAACTATTTAACTGCTGGGTGCTACCCACTCCTCTCCTGAGGCACACTCTCCAGTCCTGCCACCACCTTGGGGTCTCTTTACTCTAGGAAGTTCCCAGAGCAAACAAAACAAAACACGCCCCCCCTCCCCTTTCCAGTCAAAACCAAGCCAACCGAACAAATCCAACCTCAGCTCTGCTAAGGATGCCCTTCCTATTTAGCTCTACCTCCCAAGCGAGCAGAAGCTGTTCCATTAGAACAGCTGCAGGGTACACCACGTCTGAAAAACGTTCCTCTCCCATCTCCCTGCCGAGGGTCTTCCCACCCACCTAGGGCCAGGGTTACCACGGAAGACAACAGAGACAGGTGTGAATGAGGCAGGGTCCTTTATCAGTCCCATGTATACAGTTGTTGTTCCTTCTTATCTACACAGAAGGAACAAATTTTGAGGCGGAGGGCTGGGCTTGGAGAGAAGAATCTGGGTGCTTCTTGGAATCAGTAGTTGGAGCGGGCTTCTCTGCCCTGGGGTGGTGTCTGTGCTTAGCACATGTAAAAACTGCTCAGGAGTTGTGGTTTGTCCCTCGCTTGGAATAAGAGCAGGTAGGTCAGCTCTGGGGATGCTTCACTAGCCCAGGCCTGGCATAGAGTCATTTGAGTAGGGAAGAGGTAGAATTGCCCTCCATCCTGAGCCTCCCCTGCCGTGGTGTCCCCTCCTCTGCTCTCCTCTCACAGACCTAGCTGGCCTGACAGCCACTGCAAAGCCCATTAGGGTGGGGTCTCGTTCCCAGGACTCCTGGTGTGGAGTCAGGGAAGAAGGGAATTTCCTGTGTGTGTGTGTGTGTGTGTGTGTGTGTGTGTGTGTGAAAACGTGTGCCACAGAGTGTGTCTGGAGGTCAGAGGACAACTTGTGGGAGTTGGTACTCTCCTTCCACCTTGTGGACTCTAGGAATTAGACTTAGACTGCCAGGCTTGGTGGGCAAGCTTATTTGCCACTGAGCACCCTTGCCAGCCTCAGGGAAAGAGAAACGTCCTGGTCCTTAGTTCATGGGCTTCTCAGGATCCCAGCCATGCCTTTGGGGTGCTGATGCTGACAGTCCGAGATCACCCTTGGCTTATGTCCTTGCCCTCTGGTGAGTACCCTTGAAAATAACCATTTTCCTAGCTTCTAATTTCCTTGGTCTTGGCGTCTTTCTGTTTCTGCTGAGGTGATACTGGGAACCAGACAGTCTTGGGTCCTGGGTGTATGGAACAACCCTCTTTGTCCCTGATGCTTCTGCGTGGTTGTTAACGTTCCCTGATAGGATAAACTATGTGGTCACTCCAGCCAGGATCCACTGAGCTAGATATAGTTCTAATCCCAGGAGACCCCCTAACCTTTCTGGGACCTTGTTTGAGGTTCTTGGCGATGCCTCTGAGGCACCCTAAGGGTCAGCTTTGGGCTGGGAGTGACAACTTTCTAGCCAAGGTGGGGTTCAGTCAAGGGGTAGTAGAAACTGACCTCTCACTGTGCGGAGAGTCACGCAGGGAGTCTATGGAGTCGTGGTAGGGTGGCATGGCAGCCCTGCGCCGCTCCTCCTGGCTGTAGGCCGCTGCCCTCCGTGCTCGCGCCTCCACACAGGCTGGGCTGTTGCACTTGCTGGTGCCCACTGATGACAGCATGATGCCTGACTGGGAATCCGAGGTCAGGCTCTCCGAACGTTCCAGGCTCCACGTGTGGCTCTCATGTCTGGGAAAACCAGATAGAGTGAGCTGATAGGTCAGGAAGGGCAAGCTGTTCTAGTGCAGGTGTGAGGTCCCATAGCCACCCTGCTCTTAGTTCTTCAGCTCCTCTGTGGCTCCCTTAGATCCCTGTCCTCTCTGCTCTGGGGTGATGTGGAGTTTCACAGGTGCTCAACCCTGATCATGGGATAAGGAAGGCTGGGATCCTGTGGTTGGTGAGTTGCCATGTGTAGAGGCTCCTTCCTTTGCTCCTGCCACTAACATCCCCAGCTGGGACACTGCCACCTCCATGTTCTTTAGCCGTTCCTCAGGATCCCAGCCTCAGAGGCCAGTATGCAAAGGCTCTGACTATTGCATGGAGCTAGCTCTCCATGGAAGGAGGGACCAGCCTTGTTATTTTTCTAGCTGTAGGAACTATTGTGTGTGTGCGGGCAGGTTGCCCCAGTACTGGAGAGTCAGGTGGACTGTGATCGGTATGCAAACACACGAGGAGATATCAACTAGCTGTGGACGATTGAATGACAAAGTACAGGAATCAGCAGGATTCTGTGGGCCCTGCTGCTGCTCACCTGTGGCTGGAGGTGGGCGTGGCTGTGGAGCAGTGGTGAGAAGGTGAGCAGGAGTGGCTCCCAGAGAATGTGGTCTCAGTTTCCCTCCGGATCACATGGTCTGTGGTGGGCACATTTTTGGAGATGTACTAGAATGGACAGAAAGTTGGGAGGAGTTAGCGATGGAGACTAGATAGGCTCCCTTCACGGGTGGGGGGGGCAAGTGATGAGCACCAAGCTCTAGGTTAAAGGGTGACCCCCTGAGTGAGATGTGACTTGATGGTGGATCAGTGATGGCCCCCACAACCAATCCCCCCCCATTCTTCCTTATGGAAATGAGCAGAGTGAAGCCAGGTCCTTGGTGAGTTGGTGTCCAACACACAGGACTGCCCTGGCCCATGCTTCCAGCCAGAGACGGTTGCTATCCAGCGAGCTAAGAGGGGGGCAGGTCTGGGAACACCACTCACATCAGCCATCTGGATCTCCTCAGGGTCCAGCCGAGGGTGGCTGGGCCCATTGGCCAGGCTCCGGTTCTGGTGGGCTGGACACATGTTCTGCCGGAGATGGTTATGCATCTGTCTCCGCTGTTTTCTACGTAGGGAGAGGATAGGTGAGCCTAGCATGGCTCCCCCAAAGGGACGGAATTCCCTGGCTGTCCTTCCAGGGAGATTGGGCAATGCACATAACCCCATCGCTTTGTACTGTGTGGCAAAGCTCTGGGGTTCATAAAGATATTTTTCTTCTTTTTTAAATGAAGATATTTTTCTGCCTCCATCTGTAATGTAGAACCCCTTACCATCCCAAAGACCACTGACCACAGAAAGCCCATAAATGACTCTCGCACAGCGCTAGCCCCTCCCTCCCTCATCTGTTTAGTAATTGTTTATTGGGTTTTTACTGTGTTCCAGATTCTGCTTTGGAACAGATGAGGTAAACATGGTCTGTGCTTCATGCAGCCTGAGGCCAGGAGGGGAGATGGAGAGTAAATAACACGTAAATGAATGGTCACTTCCAGGGAAGTTTTATAAAGAAGATAAAACAGAACGCTATGATTCAGGAGCCAGGCCAGTAGGACTCCCATATACTGATACATAATAAATGCTCAGAAAATTATTTTATCATATACAACTGTAATTATCACTCCTATGGCTCTAATTCTCCCTGCTCGTCAATATCCCATTTTTCGCCCCAGGCTTGCCTCTTGCTGCCTCCCTCCACCCAGCTTGCTGCTTCCTGGGACAGCCAGCATTGGATCCTGGGCAGCATTCTGCCCTACACTCCAGCCTCTCCACTGGTTTGTGTCTTCTCTCCTTAGGCCCTAGCCTGAAGGCCACTTCATGGGGAAAGCCCTTCTGCTCTCCAAATGAGGATAGGGGCTTCAAAAACATGTCTTGGAGGCAAAGATGTAGTGGAAGAAGGGGACTTCTGTGGATCCCAGGGCAGTCGGGGCTGTGTAGTGAGACCCTGCCTCCAAACAAACAGCAACAAAAAGTCCCAAGCCAAACATGCCCTGGGGCCACTTGCTTGGAGCCTGCTCACGGGGCTGGGCTGAGTGTCAGTGCTGCTGAAAGTTTAGAGCAGTAAGGAGGAAATGCAGCCGGTCAGAACTGGCACTTCTTTCTTCAGTTCCCGGACTCCTACATCTTTGGCCCAGTCCCTCCTCCTCCTTCCTTCCCTGCCTTTCTGGTTCAGGTTCCATCCAAGATGAGGTCAGCAGGACCTTCAGCCCCATCTGTAGGGCAGCAGGAGTCCAGACCCAGGGACTCAGCTTCTGAAATGGTAACTGTCTAGGCTCACTTTCCAGATCTAAACAAATATTGCACCACCCCAGCCTTCGTTGGCTCCACACCACCTCAAGTCTCATATCAAGGTTTTATGGAGGCACCTGAATCCCAGATATCTTTGGTTTCTACCCACTCTTTCTGATCCTGCCTTTCTGCTCTGAGCGGTCTGGGCTGCCCTCTCTGGCTTATCTTTCAGTTTGCCCTCTTCTACACTTCCCAGCTTTCCCAGCTGCTGCCCCGACCTGCCCTGAGATAGCCCAATTGCTCCAGGTCCTGTGGGAGACAGGAGAGCTGGGTTTGAACCAAGACTTTCCCTGTGCCTGTCCCGTAGAGCTATAGCCACAGAGGCCCTGAGACTACTGGGAACAGGAAGCTGTAGGCTGGGCAGAGTAGGTACAGGGAAAAAGTTCTGTTCTCACAAAAACATATTGGAGGCTACCCCCTGGCTTGGCCTGTTCTCGGCTTGAGCATGTAACACTTACTTGGTCTTGCAGTAGGCGACCACACAGACGATGCCCACGACCAGCAGAGCCACACAGATGCCAGTAATTGTCAGGACTCTCTTCTGGTACAGCTCCTCAGCCTCTGCAGGGGCAGAGCAGGAACAGAGCCCATGGAGATGCTTGTATATGACCTCCCTATTCCCAAGCTGTGGGCGCCCTCAGCACAGGCTCTAGCCCCTCCTGCCATCCCTTCTCCTTGACTCCCCTCAGATTCCCCCTACACCTGGTCACCCCTCCCCAAGCCCCATATCTGCCCAGTGCACATGAGTGGGAAATGCAGGGGATGGAGGAGGGGATGGAGTAGGAGTGAAGTTCCAAGCCACAGTAGAGGGGAGGCAACACCTTGACCAGCACCCCTGCACTGCTCATGGCCGCCCAGCAGAGGGTTGTTCCTCATGGCAATGAACAGAGGCCCAGGGCAAAGGCCTTGCTCAGGCACCCCGATTCCCTAAGAAGGGGTGGTGATAGGACATCAGGCCCAGATTTAGGAGGGGTGCTAGGGCCAGAAGCAGGAACACAGCATATTGGGCCTAGAGGGGGTATGGAAAGAAAGGCCTTTCTCCATTCCCACAGTCTGGTCAGGGTAGTGCCTTGGCTCACTGGACCTTGTTGTCTGCTGGAGAGGCCTACCAGGGACAGCAAAGCCCCACTTAGCATGCAGGGATGTTGTGTGCACAAGGAGCAGGCCCCACCTTCACTAACGAGCTAGGTGAGGCTGAGCCAAACTGTTCGCCTTCCCTCTGTGCCTGGTATGGCCACCCCTGCCCCTCTAAAACAGAGAAAGCCAGGAGGAAGACAAGGAAAAGGCAACAGCACTGGCTACAGCCCAGGCGATATCTCAGCGAGCCCACCTTACTCAGACCTGCTGGCTGGTACTGCCACCTTCATTGCTACCAGTTCAGTGATAAGTAGAGGCAGGCCCTCCGTGATTGGCAGAGCTCTGAGAACTGTCCCTGATCTCTCAGATTTATGTTACCTCCTGTGTACACCAGCAACCTCAGAGCTACAAACCTTCCGGATACTCACATATCTAAGCTATGGCTCCTGGAGTCACAGACGCTCATACAGGTGAATCTGCACACACAACTGACCACATGCTACAGAAATGGGTATACATGCATGCCCAAGCACACTGAGTTACATTCAGCTAGAGTTTAACCAATCTCTGCCCACTGAGCTTTACTCTGTTAATCTACCAGGCCTCCCCAGTCAATGTCTCCATCACTTCTTGGAGACCACTCTGCTCATGGTTGTAGACAGCTTCCACTGGCTGGACTGTGGTGGCGCACACCTTTAATCCCAATACTCAGGAGGCAGAGGCAGGTGGATCTCTGTGAGTTCAAGGCCAGCCTGGTCTATAGAACGAGTTTCAAGACAGGCTCCGTAGCTACATAGAGAAACGCTGTCTCGAAACAAAACAGCTTCCACATTATCAAGCCCTGGCACTTGGCCTGGTGCCCCGGAACTTTGGTGGTGAACTGCTCCTTGGTGGCCTGACTTTTCTACAATGGCTGCTTCTTTCTCTTAACCCATGCCAAACGAACCAAGACTCCCAGGCCTCTTTCTTTCCTCCACTCTTTCTTGGCACCATCTAGATAGACTTTCAGTCCTATGGGTATGCATTCCCCATTTCCGTCTCCTGCCCTGATTCTCCCTGCTTCTCGGCTCAATATCTATGAGCCATGCCCAGCCAAACTACGGTCAGTCGAAACCCCAGTAGCCTAGATTTCTCCACACCTGCCTGCCCATATCATTAGTAAGGCTTCTCTACGTGCCCCTCCCTCTCTTCCCACCTCTCTGGTCCATCCAAAAGTCATCTCACCATCGCTTTTGAAGTGAGGCATAGATCTGACCAGTGAGCATTTTCACTACTGCCTCTGTAGTCCAGGAGGGGGCCCCCCTCAACTAGAGATGGCCATCTTCTGGCAGGCAGGCCTTTCTGCTTGCGCTTCTAACCCTGACTCATCCCCATGCTCCGCAGGTACCAGCAATAACGTAGCTCATTCTAGTCTGCTGCTGCTTAGAAACACGATGGGTGCTCATTACAAGCATAAAAATCAAGGGCTTCCTGTATTTTCAAGGCCCCCGATTACCTAGTTTCACATTCCTTTTGGATCTTGTCTGTGGTCTGTTGTGCTTGGAGTCAGCTGCAGCATCTCTGTCCACTGAGTAATGCAAGCCTACATGTACTGTGTCCCCGCCTTCACCACTCTTCCCCAGGTGTTTGGAGGGCTGGCTGCCAGATGGTACCATGTAGGACACACCTTTTCTTGATCGTAAGTTACAGTAGTTCTCTACTGCAGCCTAGCCAAACCCGGAGCTCACTTTCTTTTATTATTTATTTTTTCTGTGTCAGTTGTCAACAGTGTTTCCCATTTGTTGCTGTCTCCTCTGAATGCAGTTCCAGGAGGGTAGGGATGCTATATGTGGTAAGGTCTGGTGTTGAGTGGAGCTTTTTGGTTAAATGAGTGAGTGCATCCCCACTCCCTGGCCCCAGACAGACACACACCTACACCTCCTCCTGCTGACAGTTTCAACACCAAATACTCTGGGCTTAACACAGACATTCCACAGCCTTTCTGTATCCCCAGGCCTGTCCTGAGACACTGCTAGCCAGACATCACCATTCTCCCATCCCAACAGAATCCATCCACACATACCTGCAGATTCATTCCTGTGTACCCAGCCTCCACCCTCCTCCCCGAGACCCAGACAGACACTCACATACAGACTTTGCCTTCCACTGAGAGCAACCGACAGGTGCTTGGGGAGCTAAGACCTCCGCAGGGCTGCCTTTCCGTATCTGTTGTCTCTGGTGTTCCCATCACTACTACTAGAGCATTCCCACCACTCCTGAGCCCTGCGTGTCTGCTGCTGTGACATCCCAGGACACTTGGGCCTAGGCTGAAGACGAAGCCCAGGAAGCTTAAAATGTTCCTCCTCAAAGTCTCGTCCACACAGGTAGTATTCTAGAGGCCAAAGGGCAGTGTGTGACTGTGGGGGATGTAGGGAGTTACATGGAAGTTTCTGGGGAGGGTGGTAGGGGAAAGGAGGGTAGGCAGCCTTGCCCGCAGATACACATACACACTACATGCCACTGGAGGGGCAGTCACAGAGAACTGAAAGCCTCAAGCAGATGGCAGAGCATGGGGCAGACAGACCACAAAGCGGGGACAGGAGCAAATGGGACATTGTCAGCTTCTAGCCTGGTGTAGAGAATATGAAGCAGTGGAAATGGATTTAGCAAGGAAAGAGGACCAATGTGAGATGGAAAAAGTTGCCTCTCTGCATAGCTCCCCAAACCAGGTTTCTTCTGTCTACAGACCCTTCGAGTAGCCTGGTGTGATTGCTGATAGGCTGTACTGCTTGGGAGGGCTAGTCCCTGCAGGTTCCTCCCCTGCAGCGGGTGCTAACTGGGCACCAGGCACAGTTTGAACTTCAGGGTACCCTGCTCTTCATGTGATTTTCTTATCTGGCTCTAAATCAACATGATTTATGCTAGGGCATCTTGGTGAGGCCAGGGAAATTTTCGGAATCGCCCCCTTTCCATTTGGGAGGAAAGGAAGCTTAAAGTTCCGCGATCCTGGCATCAGAGGCGGCGGGGTCGGGGGGAGCTGTGCAGATGATGCAGAGCGATGATCAGGTGCCATACCCTTTAACTCAAATCCAAGGTGCTCTGGCAGTGCAGAAGAGAGTGCGGGGGCAGGGGAGAGAATGAGAGGAGGGGCGGGTGGGAGAGAGAGAGAGAGAAAACGTTGGTCAGAACTCTTCAGACGCTGGGCAGCCAGCCTGTGAGATGAAAGCAGGTTAGTAGTGCCCCCTCCTGGCCTCCTGAGCTCCTTCCCTGGTCCCTAGTCCCTGAGAGCCCCAAGAAGGCAAGAGAGAGGCCATGTTAGAACTGACAGGCAGGGAAGGCTCCCTGGAGGTGAGCAGTGGAGTTAGTACCTGGTGAGAAGGCATAGGTGCAAGAGTCAGTTGGCAAAGTCCCCTAGGAGCAGAGGACCAATGGGGTGGGGTTCAAGGAAGAGTGCCCAATGTCCTCTTCCTGACTCTAACTCCAACCCTTCAGCATCCTCAGGCCCTCCTGAAGTCAGTTTGCCCTTACCCCTATCTCATTCTTGGGGGTCCTTTTCATCTGTTCAAAATGAATGTGTCATGTCTCTGGACGAGCCCATAGCTGGCCTGACAGAGCTCCTGGCAGTCTGAGTGCAGAGCTTTGATGTCATAGGGGAGAACAATGGGGATAGGGAAGACCCCAAGAAGCAAGTCATTGCTCCATTTGATATCCCATATACCTGGGCTCCCAGGATTGGGCTGTGGTACCCAAACCCTTCTCACTACTCAGGAGAGCATCTCCAACTGAGAGCACAGAAAGAGTGAGTTCATCTGTGGAGCACGCATACTTCTTACACTATGGACAAATTACAGTGTTGGAAGTGAGGTCATTGCCTGAATGTGTGAGTTCAAGCCCTTGAAAGGTGGATGCTTACAACATTGAGAGGTTAAATAAGGGTCAGCGCTGGCAGTCACAGTCACCATTGTCCGTGACTCTGAGAGATGGCCAACCTATTTGATCTCAGTGTCTCAGCTATGATGCAGGGATCAGGCCTTGCCATGGGATCCTGGAAGGTCTGAAAACCTGGCTGTGCTTCAGAACCATTCTGTCCAATGGGAGGAGATCTGGGTGGGAGCCCAGGAATCTTGGTGACGTTTTAAAGACTTGTCTTGCTTTTTCAGGCACAGCCTGTCCTGTTCTACAGACCTGGGTCTCTAACTTGCTATGTGGATGTGTTCTCTTCAAAGTGCCAGTATACAGAGGCAAATGTGAGCAGGCCTAGCCAACAGGAGGTTAAGACACGTGTATGCCAGGGCCCCTGCTCACACCTGCCTGGGCACACTCCCTCACTGACTTCCACATCAGTCACCCAGGCCTGTCACTGGGCTTCTCCTCTGTGGAAGAAGGGCACCCTGAGCATTATCCGCACCACTTCTTTGTGCGTTCTGAAAGGGATTCTAGAGGGTTCTGTATTTGGAAAAGAGCGGGAGTGTGGGTGGCTCTGAGCCAAAGACCAAGAAGGTCCTGATCCCAAGAATCTTGAGGAAGATTCTGGGGTTTTGACCCAACCGGTTCTGTGCTGAGGCCACATCAAGGAAGTGCCGATCCCAGCATTTCAAACACAAGCCCTCTGCAGTTCTGCCACTCTGAAGCTGGGGAGGTGTTGAGGATTTGGCTTCTTTTCAGTTTTGCCCTGACTGCTTGGAGCCCTAATTGCAGCTCAGGGTCCTCTTTGGCTGGATCAAAGGGTCACAGAGAGGTTCTCATCCTGGAGCCTAGGACTTGGAGGCACTTGGGAGCATGTTACTGATGTCCTGCCATGCTTACCCGAGGGACAGCAGACCAGTTTCAGCAGGTTCCAAGTGCTGGTCCTCAGGTCACTTTCAGACAAAGTTGGTGAAGTCTAAGGGGCAGCCGGTACCCTGTAGTGCCATGGTACTTTCTCAAGGTGATGCAGGAAATCAGGAGGGTTACTGAAAGGGATCACGGGTCTAAGCTATGGCTATTCCTGCTCAGCCTTGCCTGACTATTCCTGAGGATGATGGCCACCTGGAGAAGCAAGCAAGTCTCTCAAAGCCCTCTGAGAACGTTCTTCCAGGTCACTGCTCTGGGAACCAAACTGAGTCAACAGCAGCTCCCTGGTGTCACGGTAAGGTGAGCCAGTGGCGGCTTGCATGATTGGTGAAGCCACTGAAAGTTTGGCCAGTCACTAGGTCAAGGGCAGGCACTGAGGGATCTACAGTTGTGTCTGTTGCAGTTAGGAGAGCAATCACCTACTCGTGTTTATTTTTGCATGGCACTTAGCCAGGATGGTGTGGTACCACTGAGCCTCAGGCCAGAAATGTTCATATTGACCAGTAAATTGGATGTCAGATTTCCACCAGGGCCAGGCTTCTTAGGAAATATGCAAATTTATTGTCTCGGACATAACCAATGGCAGTCATAAGGTGCCTGGAGGAGGAGACAGTGATGTATGTGCTGATGTGAGCATGTGCTCCTGTGTTTGCATGTGTGTGAGTGTGTGGTCATACACATGTGGGATACAGATGGGCCAGCTTTCCCTTTCAGGAGGGCGCGGCCTGGAGTGGGAGAAGCTTCAAAGTGCTTTTGGGGTGAAAGTGCTACTGGGGTCAAAATCTTGCCTGGTTTTGAGGTGGTCTGGGTAGGTGGCAGGGTCAGACGCTTTGCTCAGCAATGCAGGGAGGTATCCTCTTCCTGCCCTCCTCCCCACCACCTATAGCTGGGAGGGATACTACAGTGCCCTCAGGTGATAAAGGCAGGCTCTCGGATGAGCCCCTCGAGTGCATCAGTTCATTTCATTCTCACTGCTGCCGTCCAGGCCTAGATGTCGCTATCCTCAGTCTAGAGACAAGAGAACAAATCCAGAACACTTAAATAAGGCCCAGGACTAGGGATCTAGGTACCGGTCCTTCTGGATGGGCAGCTGAGGGCTTCAGGGGGCACAGGATGGTGGATGTCTTTGTGCTCGTTATGAACTAAAGCATCATAAAGGCCTTCAGGGAACGTGTTTGAAGAACAGGAATCTTCTATATAAAGGCACCTGTGTGGTACTGATGATACAGGCAGGAAGCTGGGGACTGCAGCTGCAGGCTTTCTTTTGGAATCTGAGGGTCCTGTTGACCTCCCCAGAAGATACAGGCTAGGCTGATGTGATGTAGCTGGCCAAGGGACTTTGCATAGTAGCCCATGATCTGGAGGCTCTGCTGCTCTCTGAGCTAGGGCTGGCTTGGGACTGTCCAGAACAATTTCCCAAGCTGTGGAGGCTCTTAGCCAAGGGTGGAAAGGAACTGGCCCCCCAGTGCCTCTCTAAGCAGGCCCACCCTTGCCTGTCTGCTCTGGCTTCTCCTGGAGCCTTAGAAGTCTCTTCCCTTGCCCCAGAGCTCTCCACATGGGCTGTATTGATTTTGAAATCCTCCCAGAGCTTGAGTTTTAGCGAATTCTTTTGGTCTATACGTCTTGCTCACACATTTTGTCTTTATCTGCTCTTCCCCGTGGCCTGTGACTAGAGGGTCTGAAGAGAACACTGCCTGTCTCATGTTATAGACAGAGGTGACTCTCTGGGTCAACAGCCCTCACCTTCTGGGGCCCAAATGTTCCTTCTAAAGGCAGTAGATAGATGTCTGGGCTTTGTCTGGGGTCTGAGGACAATTGTGAGCTTTGCTTTTCCACCCTGAGACCCGAACTCTAAAACTCTTTTTCTGACATGCTGCCTAGTAGCTCCTGGGTTTCCCTTTTGGTATTTTTATGGAGTTTTCCTTCCCAACACTCAAATGTCATCTGGGTTCTCTGGTTCCTTACTGTTCGCAGGACCTAGATGTCCTCCCTAAAAAGAGGGTACTAGTCTGCTCTGCAGAATAGGATGGGTAACATGGCTCTGGTCTTGAAGGCCAACAGACCACAGGGATCCAAACCAAGTCTGGAACTCTCCAGAGGCTAATTGCTCCATCCACCCCCCCCCTGGTGGTGCCTGAAGGAACTGCTCCTGGGCGCCAAGGAAAACAGCCACTATTCTAGCCAGATTTCTCCCGGTGTGGAAGAAAGAAAGGAGATGGGATCCTGGATAGTGTTCAGACTAGACAGGTTTTGGGAGGAATCACCAGATTCTCCTTAGTCCGTTAGCATCTGCGGCAGCCCCCAGTTCACTTCCTCCTGTAACCATACAAATGTCTCTGGCATCCATGGGAACCATTGCTAGGGCTGCTCTCTTCCACTCTGCCCTCCGCCTTGGTCCTAGAACCCCAACCATTTTGGCCATACCAGAAGACAGACGTTTAAAACCTTTTCTAATCTCTCAAGCCTATCCGTAGAAACATGCACACACTCACTGCTTGGCCCATCAGCAGCCTGGCACCAGAGGTAAGGGAGGGCTCTGCAAATGCCTCTTCCCCCATCTGGCAGGCTGCCTGATCCCAGAAGAGAGGAGAGGCCTGGACATGGCCCTGCTGCTGCAGAGAGTTCAGCTTTACAACTCTCAGGTGATACAGGCGACTTATGGGGCTGGGCGGGGAGACGGGTGTATCGTCTCCTCTGCAGAGGCTACTGGTAAGCACTGAGGACTGAGAGGAGCTCAGGACACCCCTGTTCCCGCCAAGTCTTGATAAGTAAGGTCCCCATCCCTCCCACATGGGGAGACTGCCAGTCACCAGGGAAGAAAAGAAATAGAAGAAAGAAACATACTGGAGAAGTTGACCATTGCGAACTGCTGACACCTGGCCCCGGTGTATCCCACAGGACACCTACCAAAAGAAAGAAAACCAGAAAGAGAGAGCCAGGATAGCAAGACACAGGCATTGCAACACCCCGGCACAGGCTCCTGCCAATGCCAGCTAGGTTCCTCGCCACGGTTACCATTTGTCCTGGCCTTGTCGCTCTGCCCCTTACCTGTAGCCCTGAACTTTAAACCCAAGGATTAGGCCAAAAAATGAAAAACAAAGCAAAACAAAAACAAAACAAAAGAACTAACAAACCAAAGTACAAAAAAGAAAAGAGAAACAAAACATAACAGCCGGAGATCAAAACAACCAACACCCCTGACCCTACGCCCTGCACTGGGGACTGCACCCGGCGCTTTCTAAGGAGCGGGGACTTGTGTTTGTATCTTCAAACATACTTTGCTTAGGATCTGGCATGTACAATCGCAAAGGCAGTTTCTCCAAACATCTCTGTCCGAAGAATCCGTTTGGACATCTGGAGAAGGAAAAGGGGAAAAATCACAGAACAAACTGGCATCATCCACGAGGCTAAGGTTAGAAATCAAAGTGCGCAGTGATGAATGAGAAAACCAAGTCAGGCACTTGGGGTCACACTCGTAGCTGAAGGGGCTGGAGTCAGGGGCTGGGTGGAGGGCTCTGTCCTCTCTAACAAACGCTCTAATCCATGTGGCTCTGTTGGGGATGGGGCGGGTGGGGTGGGGCAGGGAGGAGGATGAGTTAGGGAAGTTGGGTGGGGGAAGGTGGGTGGGTTATTGACTAACTAACTGTCCTACTGGTTGGGGAATTTTCCTTCTTACCTGCCTGGTGCCCCAGGAAGCCAGAACTGTAGCCTCAGGGTGCCAGGCAGCCAGACTTATGGGATACAAATTCCTGGTGTCACTCCTCGAGGCTCTGCGGAAGGATCCTCTCTGGGACTCTGGGCAGGTTTCCTCCTCTATGGAACAGCTCCCAGAAAACTCAAAGTAGAATTCTGCTAGGCTGTTCTCACACGGTGTGCTCATGACTAAAGGGACTTAGGAGGTATTTGATCTGTTCTCTCAAAGAGGGATGTGTGTGCCAATATGTGTGGGAAATCCATCCCCCAGGGCTCCTGTAGTCTCCGTTAGCATAGGAAGGGTCATGAAAAGCTTTGTAGGAGATAATAACTGAACTCTACAAACTTATTTGACCAAGGAAGCTTTGTTTATGTATTTGAAGACAGGGTCTCGTGCTGTAGCTCTGGCTGGCCTGGAACAGAAGGCACTTTTTAGGGGAACCCTTGCAGGGCACAGTTTGGAGAAGTTGCCTTAAAGCAGTAGATGTGGGGAAAGGGGAAGCTGGAGAGAGGTGCGATTGCCAGTGTACCAAGGCTACCTTCCAGATACCTGGTGTTGGGGGAGGTCGGAGCAGCCTAACGGGGGGGACCCTGGAGGTCTGTTCTGTACAGCAGCTGGCTAGAAGCTAGCTGGGGCTCGCCTGCCCTTTCCTTGAGACCTGTTCTTCCACTGTGGCCTGGCTTTGGCCTAGATCTCCTTGCAGCTTGCCTTCCTTGCCACTTCAAGACACCACCCATCCACCCCCTTCTTCCTGACCTTGTCATGCCTGCAAGGTACACTTCCTTCTGTTCTCTGGCTGCCACCTCTCCCCTTAAGCAAGTCCCAGTTTCATAGATTTCTAGGAGACATGCCCAGTCCTGTACTCTCTCCTGAACCCCAGGAAGGCCAGTTACCTAGGGAGAAACCCACAGACAGGGCTGTACTGACCCTTGTGCATGTCTCTCTTCAGAAACAGGTCTCTGTCGCCCTGCTCTGCATTCCCCTAGGAGCTAGGGGGACTCCATTAGCAGTAACCCCTCAGTACCAGGTTACTGTGCAACCTTAGTCAGCCTAGACTTCCTCAAGAGGCGAGGATTCTCTGCCTTAGTCTTCTACTGTACCTAACAAGAGGGCCCTTGGCCTTAGGGTAGATGCTAGCCATTGGCTATGACAGATAATCATGACAACTCTGTGGCCTCTAATCTGGAGAAATGGGGAATGGGAGTGGCAGGCAGACACAAAGCCAGACTGTCTTTGGGCCTGTGGTATCTCTCCGGGTCGGGGAAGGAGGGAGAGCTGGACATTGTAGTGATGGAGCATGGGTGCCCATGTGCCTGGTCACTTGGAGGTCTGCCTATGAGGGCTGGGCACAGCAATGCACGTTTACCCTGTTGAATAGGGTGGCTTAGGGGAGGAGCTCCTCTTCTATCCCTCTGATCCCTGACACTTGTCCCTAGTCATTTTAGCCCAGGAAGATGGAGGAAGTGGCTGGGGCTTCCCAACTGACCATAGCCAGGCTCAGCTCTGCTTCCTTTGCTCCTGGGCCCACTGTGTGGGGAATAGGATTAGAAGCGGGCTAAGTGATTCTTTTTCAAACGGAATCACCTTTGGGAATAAAGGATAGAGACCCAGAAGTTGCCAAAGTGACTCTTGGATTCTACAAAGTAACAGAAAAGGACTAGACTTGACTATGTTCATTGTCTGCCAGGGAAATCAGTGTATACAAATGTGTGTGTGTGTGTGTGTGTGTGTGTGTGTGTGTGTGTGCAAGAACAGCGGGGTACAGGGGCAGAAAGGGACAAAGAGGAACTTATTTGACATCAGGGCTGCTGTCCCATGAGTCTTGGAAACCAGTGATAACTATAAACACACCCCTGTGTCTCTGTCCCATACTCAGCCTGGACTAGTCTGACTGTCTGCACAATTCCAGGTGGCACCATTGACTGGTCCACAACACCAATGTGCTATGGTATTTGTGCAATGTTCTGGTGCTAGTCTTGCACCTGTCTGTGAGATGGGTGCTCCTCCTTGCTGGATAAAGAAAAGGCCTTGGGGGATAGGGTGGTCAGGGTGGGGAAGGACTGATAGCCAGTGCTATCCTTTAGGGGTTCCTGGATACTCCTACTCCTCTCTGTAGTTCTGTGTGTGGAGACTCAAGCTTCTTTAGAGAAGGTTCTAGGTGTGAGCAGGGCCTTTGACCTTCCTGCCCTGCAGCCAGACCAGGGTAGCAGGAGCCAGCTGCTTCCCTTTATCAGCATGGTAGGAGTCTGTACTGGGTGCGAGTGGCTGGCTGGTGACTGGCTAGTGGCTCCCACTCAAACAGGGATGACCCTGTGAAGTTCAGGGAAACGGGGTGGGCTGGAAGGGGCGGCAGGCCAAGCCTTCCTTGACCTTCCTACAGGCATCAGCTCTGGCTCTGAGAAGGTCTGAACCTGGGGCTGGAGAAGAGCAGGGGCGAGAGAAGGGCAGAGAGGAGAGCCCATGGGCTGCATCTGGGGTGGCAGAGAGGTCAGGACCTCTGCTGTCCCCGTTCCCCACCCACCTCCCGGGCCTCAGTTTCTCCTTTTGGTAGCCTGGGGATAATGCCATGTGTGCTGCCCTCACCTGGGGAAGGAAGGATGAAGGATGAGGCCGTGCCCCAGGCACTGGAGGGAGCCAGGGTCTCGGAGCTCACGAGGGCAGGTGGAGATGGGGTGAGGATGAGCAGGCAGATGGGGTGGGATGGGGTGGGGAAGCCGGGGAGGGGGAGATGAGCTGATGGGAGAGGGAGGCATGCCACTGGTATGTGCACAGGGCTGGAAAGAGAGTCTTGTTCTGTCATCATCCCCTGAACCAGTCCCCAAGAGTCACGCACCAACCGTGCTCAACAAACACACGGAGAGAAGAGGAGAAAACGGCAAGAGGAAGTGTGGAGGTCCCTGTCTGGCCCAGACGGGACAGTCACCTTGATTTAGACCCCCATTTTCAAGTCCCCTTAAGTTTTCTTTTTGAAAACAAAATTCAATATCAGTGACATTGTTTCTTTTGGCACTGACTTCCAGAAAAAACAAGAGGGTTACGGAGTGTGCCTGCCTGCTTTCCAACACTCCCTGGGAGGGGGGGGGGGGCTCTGAACCAATACACAGCAACAAGTGTAAGAAAACCAGGAAGGAAAACTGAGTTTTATAGAAACTGGAATGAAACTGACCAGTGTAGTTTCATTATCCAAGCTAAGCGGAAATGCAAAAAAATCAAAATAAAAAGTAAACAAACAGCACAAATGGTAGACGTGAGTCCCGTTTCCTAAAGTCTTTCCTTTGTTCTCCATCCAGGTGATATCAGAAACCCCAAGAGGCCTGCCCCCCTTCCCACCCAGTTCCCCACCCTCAGAATGGCCTCTGGGCTCTGCCCGGCCCCCTCCCCCTGCCCTTCTCCAGCACAGCTCCAAGACTGCAGGCCCAGCCAGGGATGTCCCTTGCATGTGACAAAGGGGTTCAGGGAAGTGGGTTATGGAGCCTTGACTGGCGCTGACCCAGAGGGGCAAAGATGGAAGTAGTGGCTCTGGGTGCCATTATCACATCTGAGACCCAGTTGGCCTGGGTGGGGGAGGAAACAGGGCACCCTCGTGTTCATTAAAGCTCGGATGCCTCTCCCTGCTCCTTCAAATGTAGCAGGGCCTATTCCCTGGCTCCTGGGGGCACAGTCGTGTTGGTAGGTTCCCCTGGGAGCCATCGTCTTCTCCTTCCCTTTCTTACACTGCACTCCATCCTGGAACCTGGGTTCTGGGGACACCTAGGTGTCCTTGTGCCTGTCTTGGGGTGCAGAGCCTTCCCTGCCTGCAGCCAGGGCTAACTTCAGTGACAATGCTGGATTCTTTGGAGGGTCAGAGGTCCAAGGGTTAGGGAAGAGGAAGGCCTGGTGTGGTAGAGGGGAAGGGGAGTCAGGGCTGGGACGTCTCTGTGAGGCATGCTGGGAACTTTGTGAGTCTCTATAGTCTGTTCCAAAGAGCTCAGAGCTTTTGTAAGGCTGGGATGTTTCCCTGGGCCTGAACTGCGATTATGGCTGCCTCTTAGAAGCCAAGGCCAGGCCTTGAACTTCCCTGGAGAACCTTTTGTTGCTCTTGGAACTTCCCTGAGGGGTTCAGGAGGAAGGAGAGTGGAGAGGGGGTGACAGCAGGTGAAGGGTGGGACCATGGAGGAAGTCAGTGAGGAGGCCAGCTGGGGCCAGGCCCACAGTTCTGTCTGGCAGTGCCACCAAGCTCTCTTGTCCCATGGGAGAGTGGGAGGAGACAGGGACACTGGGACCCTATCAGCTGTAGAGGGTTCTTTAAAAGTCCCAGCCTCTTCTCCAGGGTCATATTCTTAGAAAGGTCAAGATCTGGCCTGGGTAGTCAGAGGCAGGAGAACCTGGAGTTCTATCGGGAGGTCGAAACCCTCTTTCTGAACTAGCAATACTTTGGTGGCCTTTGTCCAGATGCCATGGGAATGGGGCAGCTTTGGCACCTAGTCTGGGACCCTTGGCACTGGCTGTTTTGAGAAATCCAAGTTGTTGACCAGACCCCCTTCCTGTTCCTTCTTAAGATATGGCCAGAGTTTTGCTCATCACGTTTGTGTTGCTCTCCAAGCACATGCAGGCGGATCGCCCAGAAGACCCGCGGGGACTTCCTGGCGGCTTCATTCACACTTATCCTGAGTGCTGCCTGGATAGTGGGGCTCTGAGCTCCTTGAAGTTCCTGCTGGTGCCACCCTCACCTCCATTGAGCCATTCCCATGGTGGCGTCCTTGCTGAAGTCCCTACCTTCCATAGAGATTTGAATGGGTTAAAATGGCACAAGCAGTTCTCAGGGCAGGATTGGCCACTGGGGGTCACCGGGACAGGAAGAACAGCCAGATCTGAGGCTGGCACTGGGATCTGGGGAGACCCTTATTTCCCCTAGATAACACAAGTGAGATCCGCAGGTACCAAGGGCTCTACAGCCTGTCTCCTGCCTTACTCTTCCAGGCTTCTTTCTACAGAAGAAGATGCAGTTGGGACATGCTCACCCAGGACAAATTTGGAGAGTTGCTTAGAGATGGGGAAGAAAGACAAAATGGTGGGGAAAGAGGAGAAAGAGAGAGAGAGAGAGAGAGAGAGAGAGAGAGAGAGAGAGAGAAAACACCCAGTGCTTTAGACGGGTACCCCCACCTCCCTGCAGGGTGGTAAGAGATGGATATTGGGAGACAGGGCATTGAGAGCCTAGGAAACTGGGTCTGCAGGAGTCCATGCACCCCTTAGAACTCACATATCTCCAAAGTCCAGAAAGGACCCGAAAGTGGATAAACCACCCTGCCTGTGCCCCTTGGGGATCATTTCCAAGTAACTGGAAGCTCACTTTTTCTAGAGCCCTCCACTTCTGCCCCAACATTTCCTCCCCTGCTCTCGGCCCTGTGCCCACCCCTGCAGGTCACTTACTTGCAGGAGAGCTGGTTGATGCCCTCGATGTAGTAGCACACACCTCCATTCACACAGTAGGACTTGGCTGTCTCGTTGCACTTCCGGGCATGTCCCGACCATGACGACAGAGTGGTGCTCACTGGAGATACGAGAGACATGGACTAGTGACCCACTGAGACCACCGTGAGGCCCAGGGGTCACTTCCTTCATGTTCTTTCATGTCACTAGGATCTGCAGGACGCCTGGGCAGGGAAGATCTAGGGGGGGATCTCTTAGCAGGCAACAAGGCAAAAGGGAAGCCATGCTGGACAGTCCGCCCAGTGTGATTCTGCATTCACACTCTTGGAAGACCTACAAAAGCCAGGCAACCGGTTTTTCACTATTTTGGAGGGGTGGAAGAGAAAGAAAGAACTTCTCCATTGGAGGAAGACCTGACCCCTGCCCCACCCCTGTCTCCCTCTTGGGGAGCTCCACCATAGGACTAGAAGTTGGTGTAAGAATTGGCTTAGGAGGGAGAACCTGTATCCATTGCTCTGCTCAGACTCTTATTGTGGACCCGAGAACTCAGGGAAATGACACCTTCCAGATGCTGTCATTTTCTGAGCTCCGAGAAGGTGGCTGTGTATATGGGGAGCAGGAGGAACTGGGCTTCCACGCTCTTCCTTCTTGTTCCCAGGCCTGGGATGTTATAAAGGCTGCCATGTCTTGTGTCTAGAAATGTTCGGTGTCTCCCTCATGTTCCCCTCCTTGTCAGCTATTGCTTGTGGCAGGAGCCTTCCAGACCTTTGACAGCCTAAACTATAAATCTTGAACTTCAGGGCGATGTAGCCGGAGAGGGATGGGAGCAGGGAACAGCTGTAGGGAGAAAGGCTGGGCTCTCAGGTTGCCAACCTGATGGATCAGGCTTGTCTGAAACAATGAAAAGAATGAATGTACTGCTCCCTTATCAGGGGACGGTGTCCAGAAAGCTGGCTTTAAATGCAAAAACCTCTTTTGTAAGGCACTCTCCACACTGACTTTCCAGGATGGGACACTAGGAGGAGTCCCTGCTCTGGGGCTCTCAGGGTCTCTGACTCCTGCCCAGCGGTGGTCCCCGACTGAAGTGTCTCACTCCACCTTGGCTACCCTTATCTCCTCTGGGGTGGCAGCCTTCATTGCTCCCATCAGCAATGGGGAGGAGGCGAGAGGAGGAGGATGGAGCAGGCAGGCGTTTGGCACCCTCAGTGTTTAGACATGTAGGGAGACAGATGGAGCGTGGGGGACTGGAGTGTACACACAGCACAGCCTCTGTATATGTCTGCAGGAGCTCGTAGATAAAACTCAGCGGGTAGGGCCAGCTCCCGCCTTCCCCTCCACCCCATCCCTGTTGCAGAGTTGGCATCTCAGGCCCCACCCACCCCTACGGAGGGCTCCTCAGGGCTCCACCACAAACCCAGCTGGGACCCACATGCTGGCCAGAGAGAGAAAGCTTTGAACTGGCGTTTGCTCCACTTCTGGGTCACAGAGACCCAGAAAACTAAGAAAGGGACAGAGAACTAAGAGAAGAGACACAGTGTGGTGACCATGTCTGCAAGTTATAAAGTTCAACACTAGGCAGACCCTAGACCTGTCTTGCCCTTTGGTTACACCTCCAAGGAGGAGCGAGGAAAGAATGGCCAAGTCCCTCTCTAGAGCTGCAGCTGTGTATTCCTGCCAGATCCCCTGTCCCTTGTGAAAGAGCACGTCAGCACCAAGGCTTGACGTGAGCAGATGAATGTGGACCGCAGCCTGGGGCCTCCCAGGGGCCTTGGCTAAGCCAGAGGAATCTTGGCCCGGATCTGCCAGGCCCAGCATGGCTCCTCTGCAGCAATGGTGACAGAGACCTCCTGCTGCCGGTCCTCATTGTCGTTCTGTGACTGTAGTGGACTGCAGTGGAGCTGCTGGGGTGGCAGGGACCACTGAAGAGAGATGGGACGCCAGCTGTGGAGCACTGAGTCTGGGCTGCCAATACCACATCACGGGGCTGATGCCAGGGCTCAGAGAGGTGTCAGGGAATAGTGGCCAAGGGCCTGTTCACCTCCTCTGCCATGGTAAGACCTTCCCAAGCCACTTTGGCATAGCTGTCCTGGTAGGTCCCAAGGTAGCATGTTCTTATCCCCTTGCTAGCACATCTGTATTTGTTGCTCGTCTTTTGTATTTGGAACAGCAAAGGTGGCAGGAATTCTAAGTGAGAAGGCTGCTCCCTTACCTCTCCACTGGGATGCTCACAGCAACCCCAAATCCAGTATATCTAAAGTGGCCTCCCAGTTTCCCGTCTCTTCCCTGTGCCTGTGAGCCCCAAGGTCCCAGAGAGCATCTATTCTTTCTTCTTTGTTCTTTACTGCCATTTATCCTCAAGGACACTTCTTCCATCACTTCAAGAGGCTTGATCCATGCCTCCTACGTCCTCCCCTGGTCCAGGTCATAGTCACATCTTCCCTGAGTGACCTACTTGCTGGTCCTCCTGCCTCACACTCGCCTTCACTCCAGCGGCCACAGCAGTCTTTAGAATATGTAAATTATGCCAATCCCTCCCCGATCAGGGCTCTTTGGTGGTGTCCCTTGGTAGTTAGAACAAAGCCCTCCGCCTTTCATTAGGTTTTATCTGGGCCTCACTCCATTTCTGTCGTGTTTTTAAATCCTGTTCTCTCAGCATATTTTAACCACACTCATTTCAGCTTTTCTAACAAGCCAGGTGCCCTGCTGCCCAGGGCCTCTCAGATACCAGCGTCTCAGTGCAGCCTCTCCTGGCTGCTCAAGACGGGTACAATCTTTATGCTCACTGCACAAGCTTCTGCTGGTAGTGTTTATTCTACACTGATTAAGGAACCAAGTTTGCCATTACTAGCTCCGAATCACTAGAACCCTGGCTCCTTGGGGCATAGCCACCTGTCACGCATCACTAAACCCCAGCATCTAACCAAATGCTTGACACAGAATAGGTGCGTAACATGGTTGACAGAATGAACAAACGCATATCTGATTCTTGAGGGGAAGTACCCTCTGCTGCTTCCCTGAGCATAGGCTAGTGTCCTTCAGCCCGGTGAATGAATGATACCTTTTCTCCTCTCTCTTGCAAATGTTGCTGAGAGGTTGTTAGGGATGTGAAGCCAAATCTACAATGAGTTCCCTCTTCATCCCTACTAAGATGGCTGGAATGTAGATCCAGAAGATAGCCAGTGGTAGAGAGGATATGGAGGAACCAGAACCCCGAGGCACCCCTGGTGAGCATGTACAGTGGTGTGGCTGCTTAGACATCTAGTCTGGGAGTTCTTTTTGGTTGTTTAGTTTTTTGAGACAGGGTTTTTCTGTGTGGCCCTGGCTATCATGGAACTTGCTCTGTAGACCAGGTTGGCCTCGAACTCACAGTGATCTACTTGCCTCTGCCTCCCAAGTGCTGGGATTAAAGGCATGCACCACTACCTCCCGGCCTCTGGGAGTTCTTTGATAAAAAATGAAAAAAGTTAAATTCCCAGAGTTACCATACACTCGAGAAATTCCACTCATGGGTGTATCCTCAAGACTGAAAGCCTGTGTGCTTACAAACACCTGAACATGAATGTCCGCAGAAGCATTAATCATCAGCCCAGATGTGGAAGTGATCCAAATGATTCAACAATTCAAACTATTAAATGGATGAATAAAATGTCATCCATTCACACACTAGAATATCACTTCACCATAAAAGGAATACACTCACCCATGCTCCAGCATGGATGGGCCTTAAGATACAGTAAGGCCACTTACTATATGGTTATACTTGTACAAAATGTCTACTATAAATTAATCCACAGGGGCAGAAAGCAAGAGTAGTGGTCGTGGGATGGGAGAAGTGGGGGGTGACTGCTAACACACATGACACGTCTGGGGTGATGATGAGAATGTTCTGAATTAGTGGGGATAGTTACATAAGCTGGTGACTATACTGAAAACCACTGAGTCATACTTTAAAAGGACAAATTTTATGGTATGCAAATTACATCTAAAAAAATTAATTAAAAACATGACCAGAAGGGGAAAACCCAGGACGTAGTTGCCATGAGTGTTATGGTGCATGTTGTCTCAGACCTTCGGAGAAAGGTGAGATGGGACAGAGGCTGAGCGGGCGCACTGATTCCCTCCTCTCTGCTGTCCAGGCTGCAGCGCTATCCTGCTTTTAGCACCGGCAGACCTTCTGCCCCTCTTGAAGGTCCAGACCCACTGCCTTGAGCTATTCAGCTGTGCAGCTGTGTATTTTGCTGTGCAAAAGGCTCATTTTCTTTTAGTTCAGGTGTTCATCCTCCCCCTACTTTGTTAGGAGAGGCGCATGCTCTCAGGCTGAGGACTCTACCTTCCTGTCAGTCATTTCTATGTTGATAATCAAGGCTGTGTCTTTCTGGAACTCAGAGCGGGGTCAGGCTGAATACAACCCATGTGTTAGTGTGTTCATGTGCAGATGTGTTCAACCAGCTACTCCCTTGCCCAGAGGCCTCTACCGCATGCCTACACCTCATGCCAAAGCTGCCTGCCCTGTGCTTGGTATCCTGGGTCAGTTCCCTTTCACTTGGGACAGGGTTGTTGGTTTCTGTAAGGCAGAAGGGGATTGCACTATGCAGACTGTTTTGTTCCAAGCTCTGTCTGTGTCTGTAGACTCCTTTTCCCTGTCAGCCCAGGGAGGCTGGAAGCTCCCTTGAGATCCAGAGCTGCCACTTCCGGAGGGCCTGCTCCGATCTGGGAAAGACAACTATGGCTCTACCCTAGTGGAGAGGTAGGTAGCCATCCAAGAGTGGGATGATGCCCTTTGACGCCCTACCCTGCCCCTGTGGACCTACTTCCCTGGGGCCTGGGCAGGGCCCCACAAACCCACCTTGGGATGAGTTATTGGGGGCAGGCTCAGCTCCCCGCTGCCCACCCTCCACCCCCTCCTCAGGGTGTGGTTTTTGCAGATCTGCTGGGTTTCACTAGTAAACACGAAATCCACGCATCTCTGCTTGGGAAATCAGCTATGACCACATCTCTACATCAAGAGTCGTCTTGCCTGCTGTGGACTGGACACAGCAGCCAGGCAAAGAGATGTGTATGGTATATGCAAGGATGCATGAGTGTGTGTGTGGGTGAGGTGCAGAAAGCAGCCTCAGCAGCAAGTCCAGAATCCCAGGAGTCCAGGAGAAGCTTAACTCAGCCTAAGGGAGGAAAGCTGAGCTTCAGGAAGGGAAGGCACTTGCATGGAACACAGAGCTGGAACCAGCGCAAATGTCAGAACTCTTGCTCCTCCTGGGCCTCTGCTCTCACACCAGGCTGCAGGGGCAAGAGGCACTGAAGCCTGTGGGCTGCTGGGATTCCATCTCTGCATGAGATCCTATGCTCAGCCCAGTGTACTACCTGCTTCTGAAGCCTATGGAAGACCGGCATGCTGCAGGCTGAGGGGTCATTCATGTCTGTGGTTGCAGCTTCCTGGTGAGTCAGACCCTCAAGACTCTGGCCCTGCACATTGGCGAGGGCATAGCTGCAGCGGCGTTCTGCGCAGGAACCCTTCCTGCTCCTTTTGTCTCACAAAGAGATATCTCGCTTTGTCTCCTACAGGGCCATCACTCAGGGTGCTCTGCCTCTTTACTGTCCTTCTGCACACAGATAAGCCTGGCAAAGATGGTGCTCCATCTACCTGAACACGGCAACAGGACCATGTGTGCATGTGACCTCAGCAGGATGAATAAGAATACCTTCTCATACCCGCCCCCAGGAGGATGCAGAGATGGGGGCTGGCTGATGTGGGACTCTCGGAGACAGGTGCCATCTCTTTCTGCTTCACTCCCTAAACACGGGAGATGCTGTTTCATAGTAGAAAAGAAAGAAACCAACCCACTCCCAGTTCTTGAATTTCTTCTATCTGGAGCCAGCATGACCTTTGGACTTCCTAGTTTCATGAGCGAATATGTGGTTTCCTTAGGGTCCCAAAGCCAGGCCTGACAACCCAGCAGAAAGAGATTCTCTGTTGTGACACTGGGCCAGACACTGTGAGCCAGCAAGCCAAACAGTTCTGAGGCCCTCTTTTGTAAGTCTTCAAAGTGGGCACACAGTCAGTGAGCCGGGTCTGTTATCCTTAAATGGAGGCTGCCCACAGGCCCCAGGTACTCAAGCCTCCCCAAGGCCTGGCTCAGGTGCCCAACGATGCAGCTGGCAACAGACACGCAGCTCACACCCACCCCAGGCCTGTCTCTTCCCAGTCTTGCTCCTGACAGCCCAGCCTCCCGTAATTGCCTTCTAAAAATATCCTTCCCCCCACCCCCACCTCTTGATTTCAAAATATTTAGTTTTCAGGGTATTTAAAATGAGAGCTGGCGGCTCTTCCAGGCCCAGATAACAAAACTAAACATTTATGCTTTGACTGCATTTCTCTGAATTGGCTGAGATCTTGGGGTTGATGTGCAGCAGCAGGAGGGAGGGGAGCTGAGCGCAAGACAGATCATGTGCCAGTCTCCTGAGGGGGCAGCCCATCGGCTCTGCCAACCCTCCACCATCCGGGACCCTTCCCTTTCTCGAGGGCCACCTACCGCTGTTAACGTGGAGCCGGCCCCGCACGGTGTCCTTCCCAAGGATGTTCTCCGCCTCGCAGACATACTCCCCCGCATCCTCCACCTTCACTTTGTTGAACTGCAGTCGGGAGTTCTTTCTGGGTTTGGGAGAGGAAAGAGGGAGAGAGGTGTGAGCCAGGGTCGGTGGACCTTATCAGTGGTCACTGAGTGGTCACTTCAAAGAACCACCATGGCTGTATAGGCTGGGCGAGAAGAAGGTCCCTCAGACCGTTGTTTTTTTTTTTTTTTTTTTTTTTTTTTTTTTTTTTTTCTGGAGTGCAGGTGATACACTGAACCCTGGAACAGGAGGAGACTTGAACCCTCAGGACAACATATCCAGCCAAAGCACACATGTTCTAACTATGAATTCTCACATCTTTTTTCTCGGTGCTGGGTTTCTCTGTACCACTTTTTCTTGGGGGAAGAATGCCAGGGCCCTTAGGGAAATCATGTGGCCACATCTCTCATTCCCAGTTGCCTTTGCCATCCATAGAAGTAGGAGATTGTCACTATTCAGGGTTATGGTTTGAACGTGTTTCCTGAAGTCCACTGGTGTCCCCACTGCAATGGTACTAGCAGGTCAAGAAGACACGTTTAGAGAAGGCCCTCATACCTTTGATTTTAGAATTCCCAGCCTCTATATCTATGGGCTAAACACATCCCTACTGTTTATAAGTGAGCCCATCTGGATGCTCTCCTAGAGCAGCAGCATGCACTCTGACTCCCGGACACCAGGGAGAGCATCTATCTGATAGCTTCATGGCAATTGTATCAATCCATGGTACCACTCCACGTCTTTCTCCTACTGTTGACTCAAGCTTGCCATTGAGAGGCGCTCTGTAGCCTCTCCAAGAGGCTTTTGTTTAACTTCATCCTCAGATGTGTAGCAAACACCTCCCAAATGCTGGAAACCATGTACTCCAGGGTCTAGAGCCTTAGGGCCAATTAGGGTATTCTCTTCTAATGTACGGGCAAACTCAGTCTTAGAAGGCTCTTGGATCGCGGGTAGACACTCAGCAAGGCAAAGCAGAGGTGGACCAGGAGCTGAGGCCAGAGAACACACCAGGAGCTAGGGCTAGCCTCTTCCTCCAGTCTCTCACTTGAGTGGTCTCAGGCAAGGTCCTAGCAGCACCTCCCCCAAGCTGTGATTCCAGAGCATCTGGCTTCGTCTGTTTTCTGAAAAACCGACTAAACCTTGCTTCCTCCTGGAGGCTTCCCTGCCTTGGTTCTGCAAGGCTCTGCTCACAGCTCCCAACCCTTCCTGAAACTGATGATGCTCTTTGGGGTCCAGAAAGTGCTCAGGATAAAGCTAGGGACCTGAGAAAGGACATAGTGTGCCATGCTGTGACTTCCTCTTCTTTTTAGCGAGGGGTCAAAAACCAGATTCCTTGCATGTGCACAGCTGGCTGGAGTATGTGCGGGGTATAGCCAGGCTGCCACTGTTCTGTCTAAGCCCCAGGGATGCAAAAGAGAGCCATGATACTGCTGGGATAAGGATTGGTGTGGGGATGGGGGACAGGATATGGGGAAGGAATGGTGGGAGAGTTGAGCAGAGAGCACCTCCCTCTTGGTTTTGGAATTGGCCTCTTCTCAAGCATATCATTCCCAGATTCCCTTGAGGTTGGTGCAGACTGATGGACCTTACTGCAGTGGCGCTGGCCTTGCCAGTGTGATGACGGTGGCTTAACTATATGCCCTACCATTCCTGGTTCGCGCTGGGTTTCTCCTTGGGCGCGTGCCTGCCCATGGCCCTCCTCTATCAACTAGTTTCCTTCATTAAGAAGAGCTCTGGAGGCCCCTCTGACCAAGCGAGTATCTGCTTCCCAGCTCAACCTAATTAGATAACCACAGCATCCCACTTCCCCGGGACAAAGCTCTCCTCACTTTCCTGCATGCTGGATAGGCGGGGGTGGGAGATGGTGTTAGCTGAGGGCAGAAGAGTTTGTGCACAGGGGACCTAGAGCCAGCAAGATCTTCATGGTCACCTACAGCTGCACTAAAAGGAACTTTTCTCATATGATGCCAATTGTAGCAGGACAAGGCTAAGCAGCAGTACAGACTTGGGGGAAGGACTCCCACCCAGGGACGCATAAGACCAGGATCAACGAGCATCAGGGCTTGGCAAAGGCTCCCCTTTTGGACAAGAAAGAGGAGACAACTCTCAGGTGCAGCAGGTATAGGCATCTTGATCCACAGGGGCCCAGAGATCTCAGGGAAACGGGATCCAGAGCTGCAGCTGGGAGTGGCCCTGGGCTCTCAGGCCCTGAAGTTGCTGGGTCTCTCCTTATCCACAGGTCCATCTGGAGTTCCTAGGATCCAGGGCTTTCTTCTTGCCTTCCTGGAAGGCAGGCAGGGTGCATACTCCTGCCACCCCATCCATTTGCTGACCCAGGTCTGCCCCTGCAAAGGGAGCTGTCCCACTCTCCCTAGCCGGTTCTCTGCTGGCAAGGACAGGATCTGGGCAGCCCCACACTTTCCCCAGTGCCTACCTCCCCTGCCTGCCTGAGGGGCCTGTCCCAGCCTGCCCCTCATAAATAAGGGAACAGGCGGTTCTGCAGAGGAGGGCCCGTGCCCTGGGCTCGGGGGGCAAGTGTTCTCCTGGCTCAGGAAGGCCTGGATGACAATGCAGTTTGGCGGGCACAGAGACAGACAGTCAGCCCCTGTCGGGAAGACGGTCTCTGCCAGCAAACAGAGATGCCAACGCTGGATGTAGCCCGGGCAGGTAGAGCATGAGGAACTCAGGGAGGAAGGAGAGAAAGGTTCCTCAGAGAGGAGACTCCTAGCTCTGTGCGTGGTTCTGGCTCCCTTGCTAGTAAGAGAGTGGGCAGTTCTCTTGAAGTCACTTTGGTCACAGTTAATGAGAAGTTCCCTGTCATGGCCTCCTCCTCCACAGCTAACAGGACAGGTGGGACCAGGGATGGCCATTTCAGAAGGCAGCATGTGGGGGAGGGGCCATGTCTGCCACCCAGGGAAAGAGCTGACTAGGCCTTGTCTCTGGATTAAGTCACCCATGTGTCAGATGAATCTGAGGCCCTACCAGGAAGTAAGTTGTTTAGAAGGTTGGACCATCCATAGGGGCCCCTGTTCAGCCTCTTGAAGGATGACCTCACACGCAGGAGAGGAGGGCCAGCCCTGGGAGGTTCTTCTCAGTCTCACACTGACTGTGGATCTCTGCTTCCAGGCTTATAGGGGAGTAGGGGGATGTGGGGCAGACGCTCCCGTGAGGAGCAGTGGTGGATTGCTCAGTGGTGAGATGAACTGTCTAAAGTACTGTCAGGGACCATGAGCTGACTGGAGGGCTCGGGCAGATAGATATTCCCATAGCGTTCATGCTGGGCCTTGGCGGGCTGTGCCAGGGACAAGAGGGGCAACTTTCCTAGTACAGGGGACAGCCTGGGCCCAAGTCCAGGGTTGTGAAAGCAAAGACCAGGGATTGGGCCTCTAGTTGGGACAGATCGGCAGGGTGGTGTGATGTTTAGGCCAGCAAGGAGGGAGGACCTCAAGGCTGTCAGATAAGGAAGGGATGATCTCGTGGGGGTCTGGATCGGAAAGGATCATTTGTAGGGGACCAAGAACTAGATTCATAAGCCAAACAGGGTGCAAGACTGATCAACTTTTTTTTTCTCTGAAAAACAGGTGGAGGCTATTATTATATATATAATAATTATATGTAATACACATATAATGTATTTTATATATCTATATCTATAAAATCATTATACCAGATTCTATGCTGGAAATTGGCCCAGCGCCTCATGAAAGCAGGGGCCACAGCTGTCTTATTCACCAATGTCTCCCGAACCTCTAGCAGAGTGCGTGACACACAGCCAATACTCTATACCCACAGGTTAGCTCCATGAATTAATTCACAAAGGCAGGAGAGGATGAGAAGCTAGGAGGGGAGAAGGTGAGAAACATTTAGGTCAGGGAAGTCAGGTCCACCTGCAGAGGCGGCAAGGGGCGGGTGCTGGGGAGGGGCCGGGTGTGCACAGCAGAGGAGCTGGACTACGAGCAGCTGGGGTAATGAGGGTGGGGTGGAGGGGCTGGCTGGGAGCATTCTGAGTCAGAGACCCCTTAGGAGTGGTGTTTGGGGCTCAGCTGGCAGCACAATGTGGAACTTGGGTGAAACTGCCACCATGCCTACAGCTGGAGGCCTGGGGTCTCAGAGGGGCAGAACCATAAGAGGGGGGCATCACCCACTGGCGCCGAGGGAGAGAGCAGTGAAGGCTAAGATGCGGGAAAGCCCAGCACCAGTGGAATCAGGGAGGTCTGACTCACAGGAGGGCCAGCTGAGAAGCCACAGGGAGAGGCAGCCGGTGTCACAGCTGGGAGGCCCAGACTTGGGAGCCCAGAGGTCATGGGGTGGAGGGGCTGGGCTGTGATCAACTGGCTGCCTTGGGGAAGGCAGTGTGGCCAGAGGATAAGAGGTGTGGAGTAGGGGCCTGAGGTGACTTGCACAGAAGTGGAAGGAACAAGGGAGACAGACAATAGCTGGAAGCGGGGAGGAGGCAGTAGCCAGGGATCCTGGCTCAGAAGAGGCATGGGCAGGGTAGTCTGCTGGGAGGGAGAGAGGGAGAGGCTAAAGTGACCAAAGAAAGACAGGAACTGGTGGTGCCTCAGCAGAGTGGAGCGAGCGTGCATGCATGCGTGCGTACGTGTGTGTGTGTGTGTAAGTGGCGTGAGTACGTGAGTGTGCGAGTGAGTGTGTGTGTATCGTAAGGCAGGGTATGAGACAGTGTGGTGCCAGGCCTGGTGAGACGGGGATGGCAGTTGAGTGCCATGTTGGGAGCAGGGCAAGAGGTCAAGGGCCAGCACCTTCCCTGGCTTTGTAGACTTAGGGAGAAGCTGGGGTGTGGGGAGGTGCCTGCTCCAGCCTTAGCTCCGTGAGGCCTGTCTACTAGTTCTTCTAGGCTGGTACCAAGACTATAGTGGGGTGGTGAGGAGGAGTGGAGGTACCTGGTTGGTTAGGCTGAATTTCTTGCCAGTGCTATAGAGAGGGGACACAGAGGAACGCTACCCCGAACCTCCCCACCTTTCTAACTACCGTAACTCCCTCAGGAGTTAGCCTTCTTATTTGTAGCCACAGACCTCTTATCTAAACCCGTCCTGCATGGCTCTTTGCCTGGGCCACTTTCTGTCTTTGTCTCAAGTAACTGGTTTTCCTTTGGTTCGAGTCTTGGAAGGAGAAGGGAGGCAAAGCCAAGCTCTTGAACCCCACTTCTCCACTCAGGTTTCAGGCCTCTGAGGTGTGATAGGGGCAGCCTGAGCCTGTACCTAACACTTTCTGTTGTGGGTAGGCTGATGCTCTCTGAAGCAATAGACAGCCTAGTTTGCATTTTGTGGATATCTCTGAAGTGGGTGGTTGCAGGCTACACTGGGGAGTGAGGGCAGAAAAGACTTGAGGGGTTCCTTAGTCTACCTAGACCCCAGAGCCCACAGAGAAAGGTAGGATAGAAGTGCGTTTAGTGGCAGACAGGTAGGAGCTGCCCTAGAGTCCTGGTTCTCCCAGCACCCCCTCTCCTTGCCTGGATGGTGGTGAGTATCTTTCCCAGCCTGAAGACTCAGAGTGTGCAGGCAGACCCCCTGATGTCAGTCAGCGGTCTCTTCCCACTTACTAAGCTCTCCACAAATGGCAACTTGTCAAGTCAGGACCCCAGCCTTTTGTCTTATGTGACTCCCCAAAGACTTTCCACCAACAGGGGCTTCCACCTCAAACTGCCAGATTTGGGGTCTCTCAAGCAAGACTTGTGCTGTTAAGACAGCTCAGAGTCAAATGGCCTCCAACCTTTAGACACATAAATTGCTTCACTTGTTTTTTTTTTTTTTTTTTTTTTTTTTTTTTCTGAGACAGGGTCTCATCTAGCTAAAACTGGTCTCAACTTGCTAGGTAGCCGAAGATGACCTTGAACTTCTGATCTTCCTGACTCCACCTCCCAAGTGCTGGGATCAAAGGGCTGTGCCACCACGCCTGGTTTTATGTGGTGCTAGGTTTGAACCCAAGGCTTTGTGCACGCTAAGCAAGCACTTTATCCTCTGAGCTGCATCCCCAGCCCTGGGAATTGCCTAATCCTTGTCTGCAATGCCAGGGCAGGAGGGCTCAGCAGTCAGGGAAGCACTGGGCATGGCAAGAAAGGGTTGCACGGAGGGGGACCTGACTAGGTTCCGTGCTGGGCTTGGGGATGTGACTCTGGAGCTGGTGGGACGGAGGTACTGCTCACCTGCCATTGCCGTACTTGATGCGAATATCACGACTGCGGTTGAGCTCCTTGCCATCCTTGAACCAACGGTAGGAGGGCTGGGGGTTCCCTGCTGCCGCTTCGCACTTCAGCGACTGCTTCTCACCCACCTCTCCCGTCTGGCTCTTCATCTTCTTCAGCTTGGGCCGGGTAGCTGCGGGGTACAAGGCAGGTAGGTCAGTGTGGGGGTGGTGGGAACAGAGCCAGGCACGAGCAGTAAGAGTCCCCATCTTGAGGCTGGAACTGGGGAGACTAGAAGTCATCCCTCCTGGCATTTTTCTTTAGTCCAACTCCATCTGCACTTAGAGTCTTCAGTGGGAACAAGGTCCTGCTACTTCTGGGCACTTCTCTGGCCTTGGGAGGGTACCAAGAGCTTCACATTCGCTTGTAAAACCTTCACCACCCCATGACTTCACTGCTGTGTTTAAACCCATTTATAGACAGGGAAACTGAGGCTTAGGAGAGTGAAGTCACTTCCCCGAGGGTCAGTAATGGAGCTGAGGTTCAAATTCAGATCATGACCTCAGTGTTTGAGATCTGACTCCTGTCTTTCCTCTCTCCACTTCCTCACTCCTCCCCGACCCCGGGGCCCAGAAGGCACAGGAAGACAAGGTGGTGGACTTAGCAATCACTTTCAGACACTGTGACCTGGCATTGCCACTGTAGTATGGGTGGTAGAGCCCAGAGGAGCAGCCCTCATCCTAGCCCTGGGGATAGGTCTCAGGCTGCTAAGAGTGAAAGGATTGGCTGTGGGAGGAAATGAGGAGGTGAGGCAGGTGGAGGAAGCTCTGAGCTGAAGGAACGTGAGCCAGAGCAGTGGGTTGTCAAAGGTGAAGCAGGGCAGCTACGCCGGTGGGCCCAGGCCTGGACAGGAAGCTCCAGGCTTTCTCCCCTGTGTCTGAAACCCCAGGCTGTTCCCACATACCTAGACTCCCATATGTCATCTCTGTGGGTCACTCCATGCCACCTTTAAACACACACACACACACACACACACACACACACACACACACACGGAGACAGAGAGACTTTGTTCCCAGGAAGGGGAAGATATGCTGGCCTACCTGCACATAATGATTTGCACTAAGATGGCCCTTCCTAGGACATGTGACTTTCCATGTATACTCATTCCTGAACTTAGTGGCAAGAGTCACACTCCAGTGTGGGTGGAGCTGACTCAGAGGTTCAGAAACTCAACCGAGACCACACAACCACAGAGCTGAGGCCAAGACCTGGGTGTTTTGGTTTGCAGCGTGTCAGGTAGGTGGCAGGTTGGTGTCTGCTTTTGGAGCCTCGTCTCTCACTGAGGGATGCAGAACCTGAGTTTGAGTTCTCCCATTAGCGTAAGGGAGGGTCTACCAGCGTCAAGAACTGTGTCTGGGGACTTGCTGGCCCTGTCTACACCATCAGTCACCAGTCCTTTCTTTTATTGTGGCTCAGAGCCCTGACAATGGACTATATAGACTGCAAAGAAAGGCCTTGCTAGAGGCAGACTTTCCTTCCTAACTTACCCCAAGCTTGCTCACAAGTAGGAGGGAAATCAGAGTAAGGTACAGAGACCAGATTCAAAGTGCAAGAATGCGTTCTCTGAAAATGTGTTGTCGGGCTAGGTGTAAACACAGACACCTGGGAAAGTCATTTTGTTCAGTTTAGAAAATGACAAAACCCAGTGAGTAGGCAGAAGCAAACTAAACCATCCACTATTTCAGTACTTGGAAATCACACACATGCATACATACACATACTCACATGCACACACGCATGCATACATACACATACTCACATACACGCACATGCACGCACACACACACAATTTTTAAACACAATGGGACCAGTAACATGATTCTTTCATTTAAAGAAACAATGCGACTTCTTTACCTCAGTGTTCAGTATCAAAAACAGCATTTTTCAAACCTAACTCACAGAGAGTACAATGTCTGGAGAGATGAAGACATCATTGCTAAGAAAAGGGTTCCCTGATGAGCTGGTCCGGGGAAGACATGGATGGATGCAGTCCAGGAAGGGCCTTCATTTACCTTGGTCTGACTACGTAAGGGCTTTCAAACCTTTTCTGTGGGATCCTCAATAGTACTTCTGGGGAATAAAGTTCTATGTCATAACTTACATGTGTATATGTGCACAGATGTATATATTTTAATACATAATATCGTCACATGATTCAAATGCTAAGAAGAGTGTATATTTTATAAAACAAATCTCCCTCTAGCTTCTCAGAATAGCCAGGGCGTAACTAATTTTATCAGTTCTTTGATATCCTTTAGAGATCTTTCATGCATACAAAAAATTTCCCTGGCATTCGCACAAATATTTTTCCACAGAATCACTTTTCACACTTGCATAATATTCCTGTGTGGGTGTATCATAATTTATGTAACTTACTGCTGTTGGGAGGTGCTTAGCATGCCCTCCCTTTGCTCCCATTACAAATCAACCCCTGAGGGCCCACTCTGTGGCTTCACTTTTGCACACATCCAGGGACACATCCTGCCTGAGTTCTAGTCTAGGTTTGGCCACTTGTTAGCTTTGGGTCCTGAGGTCGTTGACCTAATTTGTCTGCTTCGGTTTTTCTCATCCACAAACCACAGGAGATAAAGAACAGCTCCTGCCTTGTGCGATGGCAGCGAGCAGTGTATGAGATAATGCATGTAGAACCTGGCAGGCAGAGGGCGCGGAATAAAGGTTAGCTGTTATTATTACTATCCTCAATTGTTTCCTAAGGCAATCTTCCGAAAAGTGGGATTGCTGAGTCTAGGGCCGTGCAATCTTTCTTAGCAATGATTCCCGTGAAAGTCATTTTATTTTGCCAAATTGCCCCCCTTGGAAAAGGCTATTCCGATCCACATTCCTCCGCTGAATGACAGGGTCTGTTTTTTATTTTGTTTCCACACCCTCACCATCTCGGGGCATTATCACGTCTTTAATCTCTACCAATTAGCTAAGCAAAAGATAACGTCTCTTTGTTGTAATTTGCATTTATTCGATGACTGTTGCCGGCTGAACAGTTCTAAGTGTATCAGCCCATTGTGTTTATCCTTCGGAGTTGTTCCTTCTTGTCTGCAGTCTGTTTTTCGACCTAGGGCTCATCTTATGAATTTGCAAGAGCGCTCTGAAAAGAGTGAGTCTATAACCTTTTGTTACAACGTTTCCTCCCAGTTATCTGCTTCTGGCATTTTAAAATACACGGCTGGCCTCCTTTCCCTCCCTTCCTTCCTCTTTTGTGCCAAGAGAGTTTGCGCATCAGTATACTGTGGGACCTTCTGGAACTTCATGACTCAAAGTAGGAGTCCTTCCCAGAATCCTTCTTTTCCCCGTGCCCCATGCTTTCACCTGTGCCAGATTCCCGAAAACACATCATACTTCCGAACTCTGGGAGCCAATGGGAACCATCTGGAGACTTTAAAACCTGGGCAGGGGTCTGGGTACAGTGCAGGCACTGAGAGACAGGGCTGGGAAAGCCGTCCGTCTGTATCTGCATCTTTCACATGTGCTGGAGAGTGTGCACAAACGCTGGACACCCCAGGGCCTGGAGACACCCGGAGCACAGCCTCACAATGGGCGTCGTTCTACGGTTGACAGACAGCTGTCATCTAACCGTGGTCTAGTGCTGACCAAGGTTAGTCTGCTTTGCCTTCCTTGTGACTGGGACATAGAAAGTTTCTGGTAGGTTCTAACGCACCCACTTTCCCTACTAGAGTTCTGACACCAAGGAAGCCTTGTCCCCCATCCCCGTGGGCCACTTTGCTCCCAACCTGACCCCAGCCAGCCACCAAGGGGTGGGAATGACATCTGGCAGGGAGAAGACATGCTGAATCTGCTGTCTTGCTTCGTGACTTGAGCCAGGGCCCACTGCAGCATGTGAGGGTGACGGGCCAGGAATGCACCAGACAGAGGCAGCCAGCAGGCAGGACTGGAGCGTCCGAGGAACTGAGGGTTCCAAAGCCATCCTACATCTCTGTTAAAACACAGGCTATTGTTTTAGATCCTAGGGTCACTCTCCATCCTGTGGGAACTCACGGGTCTCACTAGCCACTTCTTTATAGTTCGTGCACTTCTAAACAACCCCGACTAGTTCACTCACTCCACGTTCAGCCATCTATCCATCCGTCCGTCCGTCCGTCCGTCCGTCCACCAACTCAATTCATTTCTAGTGAATGATTCAAACTGCTCCATGCCAGGCACTGTTCATTCACTGGGGACTGAGCTAGACAGTCCTGAACTTGGGGAGCCTGACTTCAGTAAGCAACCAATCAACCAAAGAGCAAGTGTGAGGCGGTGAGAGTGAGCTTGAGAGTTCACAGGCCTTAACAGCTTACGAAGCTGAGGAGAGCAGGGGTTGGAGAGACAGGCAAGGCTTCAGGTGACAGGGTTGTACCAGCCAGGATGGGAAACCTGGACTGGGCTTGTATTTTTCTTTTTAACATGTTATGTGTCCACTAGACAGTTTTAAAGCATTGGGCAGCACTGGCCTAAAGGGCAAGAACATAAGAATAACCACATGCCTGCATCATGCCATGGTCTGTACAGAGAGTTTTCTAGCTTTTGGAAGTTCCTCAGAAGAATCTCCCGAAAAGGAAGGCCAGGCATACTTACTAGGCTCAGTTTTCTGCACCTGGAAAGTTCTTTGGTGGATCTATCACAGTGGCTCAGATTGTAGGACAGAAGAGTGCACACAGATGGCCTTTGGAACAGTGCGCGGGGGACCTCTGCAGCCCCACTCCAGGGCCCAGAACCTTGGAAGCTTTCTGTGGCAAGGCTTGGGGACCTCTCCAAGATAGCCCTGATTTGTTCTGAAGGTGTCAGAGGAAAGCATTGGAGACTCAAGAACTGGGGGTGACAGACAGTTGTGTTGGTGTTTTAAGCTCTTAATCTGAAAGGACATGGATTCTCCTTTTGTGGCTTCCAGACATAAGACCCGGGACCAGTGTTCTGGGGTCACTTGGCCCAAGGTTCACAGTTTGTTCACGTGGCAGACCTCAGGTACCTAGGGACTGTCCTCAAAGGGTTTCAGACATGACTGAGCTAATTCCAGCCCCAGCCACAGCACCTACCTCCTCTGAGCTGGATGTATTTTATGCCCAGGGCCTAGAATGTCTCGCTAGAGTGTGGGTACAGAGACCATCACACTGTGTCCCA